GTTGCTAGTTTCTATAACAATTTCTCAGAGAATCATCTGTCTCTTTAATAATTGCGAGAAGCAGTCAGGAATGACAATTTCGATTTGTCTGGTAGTTTCAGTGTTAATATTTCCCACGAGTGCCGAGCTAGAAAGGCGAGGCTAAGTTGGAATACTTTCGCGACGCACTCGGAAGGTCTATTATACATTAGCCGTGAGCACGAGGGTAGTGACTGTTCGAGCAACTGGCAAGTTCCGAGTTGCATCATAATGCAGCCATCACGGGCTCGTATGTAATTCATGAGGCCTCGGAGCACTGCGCCCTGTTACTCTATCGTTAATGTTAATACCGCGTATACTTTCGATTTAATGAAGAACACCTCGGTGACGGGGCGGCCGCCACCTATTTTCGAATTAATAAGCCAGAATGTAGAGACAGCCCCGGAGGAAGAATTTCCTAGCCATGGGAGACCATTTCGCGACAGCCTAACGCGCGCCGCGTGCGATGATAGCGACTGCGTTACGTTAACGTACACGCGAGGACCGCCGCGCCGCGCTAGGATATAAATTCCTGGGGAGACGTAAACGCGCGATAAAAGATGGCAAGGACCCGATGAAAGGCTGGTATTCTTCTTAATCTCGGAAGCTTAGGAGACAATATTCTTGCGACGAGTAATAACATCTGCCTTCTGACATTGTTCGTTAGTTAAGGGAGATGATGCGTCGACGAAGTGGACACTTTGTGTTTTGTATTGTATTAGGTAAGATTATATTAAGATTCATTTTCTCGTTCGTTCTGTTTTATATGTGAATAAGATTTTATTTTGTTGTAACTAATTTTTAGAGTAAAGGTTGAATTGGGGTGGATGTTTACTGGATTTTATAGGAGATGAAGTAGAATTTTAAGCGGAGCTATTGTTCTAAAGTGAAAATACGAGCTAGTAACAGAGAAACGATAGAGGAGATGCAAACTTTCAGTTATGATAAAAATTGTTTGCTCTCGTCGTACATTATGTATATTTATGGCGTAGTTACTCCGAAATAAAGTGAAGTGAATAGAAGGGACGAGCAGCTGGAAGGTAAGAGAGCAGGACGACCCATGGGTCCCCTAACTTTCTTTCGTCCTAGGGAACGCCGCGGAACAGACTCTCACGGCGTCGCTTACGCTACAATAGCAACGATACATTCTGCTTTTCATCGTAAACGACTCTCATCTGAATTTGAATACTTGAAGTATAACAGAATACGATGCTATAATCGATTTTTAGTGATTAACAATTGTATTACCAATCGGAATGCTCGCGTTTGTTCGAACTGTAATATTGCAGTGTCTTCGAACCAGAATTAATGCGAGAGTGTTAGAAAAATTGAGGTTCCAAGCAGTTTTGCTGAACTTTCTCTAGAACATGAGTTGTGTAGAAGAAAATTTCGAAATTTCAAAGTTACAGAGTTACAGAGTTTCGAACTTTGAAAATTTCAAACTATCAAACTTTGAAAATTTCAAACTATCAAACTTTGAAAATTTCAAACTATCAAACGTTGAACATTTCAAACTTTGAAAATTCCAAACTATCAAAGTTTCAAAGTTTCAAACTATCAACCTTTGAAAATTTCAAAGTTTGAAAATTTTAAACTATCAAACGTTGAAAATTTCAAACTTTGAAAATTTCAAACTATCAAACTTTGAAAATTTCAAACTATCAAAGTTTCAAAATTTCAGACTATCAAACATTGAAAATTTCAATAGTTTGCCAGCACAATTCAAAGTAATGCCAAACCATCTTCCTCCTGCAGAAAAATGTAATATCGGCACTTACAAGCTTTCCAGCGAATGCTCTTCGATTAAAGAGAAAGGATACATTTATATCCCTCGAACAATTTCCCTATCGACGTCCGCGTCAAACAGGAAACCCAATTTTATTTCCTTTTATCCACTGGTCCTCGCGAAAATGAAAAAGTTCAGCAGCCGAGGAACGACGTTTACGGTTCCTTCCAATAAAGTACCGGCGCTCCGAAGGCGTTCGTTTTACATTCGGAACGTTAGCCCCTTTGCGCGGCCGGAGGCCTTTCATGAAATTGAATTACCCCCCGAACGGAAAGGTTTTCGTTCCTCGGATATCAACGAGCCCGACTTCTCGGCGACCGTTCAACACGACCGTTTGACAACTCCTCAATTATCCACCCGCTCGACGACCTACCGACCCTTGTTGACCGACTGGACCTTAATTCAGCAACATGTTTTGCTCCAGACAGTTTTCTACAAATTCTTGAAATATAAGAATTTTTCTAGAGACTAATATCTTCCACTTTTCGAGAAAGTTCGTAGACATGTTTTAATCAACATTAAATCTATGGGACCTACCAATTCGGATATTAAGTTTTATTAACCCTTTGCACTCGGAAGTTTTTCACTAGAAATATTTTAACATTTTCTGATGAGATAATTGGATGAAATAATTAACGCGTACATTGAGGGACAAAGCTATTTTACTTGAATATTTCTTAAAATGATGCATTGTAGGAAATGTAATATTAAATATCAAATTTTATGGTTTTACTGTATGAAATCAAGTGAGTCACCTCTCGAGTGCAAAGGGTTAAGGGTGAAGCTTTCATTTTTATGACCTATGTGAACACCTATTTTTAAGAGAATAATACGATTCGATAAAAGTCAATGAATTGATTAAATATTGTAATGTAATGGGTGCTATTAGAGTAATCGGAGGAGTCTCTGTGTTAATACAATAAAATATTTCAGTGTTACTGTTTGATGTAAAGTAGATACTAGCAAGTAACAGTTAATGCGCGATACAAGTAGTCAGAAGATTTTAATATTGCCGTAAATATTATCTGGACAGGATAAGGAGCAATTAAACGTTTGAGCACCGCTCATTGTTAAAATCTGGTAGTAAAGTGCCAAGAGTGGCGATGGAGTTCTCACATTACACCGAGAAGTGGCAAAATGCCGTTGATCTCCGGTGCCAAGATCCCATCGGTTTTTAGATTTACGGCTGTACTTATAGTTCGGATGAGTAGATGCCGTTTAGCCGGTCTGAATATTACAAGGGGAAAAGTTATAGTTTAATAAACCGCTTCAAACAATGAACGGTCGGAACTGTTTCGACGCGAAATGTGAACAACGCGGACGCGTTCGGGCGCCACTCGAACGATAAACTCGATAACTTCTACAACTTATATTGGCGACAGAATTTGTAGTTGCGATAGTTCATTAAATATGATCGTTATCTGCTTATAAAATATTCCGCGGATGTAGCGAAGAAATTTCGAATTTCGAAGTTCAAGTTTCTATTACACTTTCGAATGTCACTGCAAATTAATGTTGGGTTACGGAATGTATTAATATTTATTAGCTAAAATAGTTAAGATTTAATTACAATACTTGAAATTAATATTCTTGAATACATAGACATATGATCACGCAATATTCGGTCACACGGTATCGTTAGACAGGTCGAAACGACTTCCATACTGTTTCCATCAGCGTAAAGTCTAGCAAGGCATCTCTGTACATTCTCCATAAAATTATGTTCATGGCTGGACGTTGGCCAAGTAAGAACCTTAACGCGACTGTCACGAAATCATTACTCCATTAGATACACGACATCTACTGACCGCTATGTTGCAAACACCAACGAACGTGTTTAACAGTGATATAGAGAATTACACTTCGAACAAAATGTAACGAAATTTTGTATAGAATTTATACGAAACTGTCATATTATATAGATCATTGCATTTTTTACAAATACCTAAAAATGAAATGTAACCATGTTTCAATATTGCTACGATATTGAAATTCTATATTTTGATTAACCAACAAGGAAACTACCATTATATTATACAGATGATATACAAAGTTTAATCAACAAAAGAACCAGCCACGTATACGTTCGTCCAACTGTAACTTCATCAAGGATAGCATTCAAACTCCGTAGAAATGGCGCAACGATCCCGGTACCCGAGTAACGAAATAATAAGTCATAAACGAACCTCATCCACGGATCGATTGATCCGCGTCCGGCCGACCGACCATCCGGCGTAACCTAATCGGCGTGGCAAGTGTGCGCGCCCGAAAGGGAAATTACGCGGAGTCGTCGGACCGCGGGATAATTGCACGCATGAAACGATAGCCCGACATCGAATTATATTTTTCAACAAACAGAACATGCAATTCTTCATTACTAACTCAATGCCTTCTCCTACACGTGCAATTCTACTTAAAAATATTCGAAACACCAATATCAGCACCTCAGCTAATAGCTGAAAAGATCACTAACCTCAACCAATCGACATTGTTGTTTTCAGACAAAAGTTGCAAGGTATAAACACATGTTCATATTTTTCTTAGATTATGTGGATATTACTAAGTTTTCTCAACGACAATAGATACTTTGCATCTCGATTCTACCGTTATATAAAGAAAACCAGAATTTACCTGCACATTTCTGTTTTTCAAATGAAAATCATTCCATATAGCAGGAACTACTTGGTAACCTCCGTTCGTTACGAATAGTCGAATTTCAGGGTTTTGTCCACAGAAAGATTCCGGTCCGATCTCGAGTCCAGAGACCCCGGAACCAAGACAGGAAATCACGGCGGCCGTTATTACGAAGCTCTGCGCGCGACCGGCGAGTGCTCGTAAAACCGGCCGGCGAATTATACGGTCGGGGTATCAATCGGTCGTTTCCATCCATCAATTTCGACTCATCTGGCCGGACGTTTCCCTTTTTTCCCCGCCGCGGCGTTCGTTTCTTCTCGTCGGTCGGCCGGAAGCCGCGATCGCGAAGGAAATTCGACGGGTCGCGCGGGACAGGCGACTGGGCCCGGTCGCGGTCCGGCGCGTATTACGACGACGATTAAAACATTAGGCCCTCGTCGTAAACGACACCGGTGCAAAGCACGGAAGAAAGCGACGACGGCGGACTGCTCTCTATAAAAGTACCTTGTCAACTAGCATCGGTATCCAGTTGTTCGCGGGCTACTCCCGAAATAACGGCGACATGGCGACGATGGTGAGTATTGTTTATCGTTGCGATTAACCCCATTGAAAGTGTTCGATAGAAATGTTCGACAGTTTCTGATCGGATACAGGTGTTTGTTGAAACTAATTTAACGATGGATCACACGTGAGTTAACCCTTTGCGGACGAAGACTCTTTGAAATGTACAGAACCTTCAGCAGGTGAAGTTAAATTATATATCACTTGTATAATTGACAGAATAATGATTAGCTACTTGAATTGTTATACAAGTAATTAAATCATTTGTTTGCGACTTAGTCTTCGAAATATGAAAATTTCATCTCGCCAGAATATCGACATTCGTCCGCAACCAGTTAAAGAACGAGATGTTTGAATATTTCACACGGCGATGCATCGTGTAAAGTTTAATGTTAGATGTTGTATTTTATATTTGCACTGTATCTCTACTGCTAAGGGTTGATGTATATTTGTTTCGTGTTTCAATATTTCGCGTGGTACGATGTGTTAGATTTGAGGAGTTGAAGTTACCGGTTTCCTCGAGTCTAGTAGATTCGTCGGTAAAGATCAGACTGAATCTGAAGTGTCTGTTGAACGGAATCAGCGATGATTCTATTTAAATGGACGAAACCTCGGAAAGTTAATTCATCTTACGAAGCTCTGAATGAAACAGAGTCACGATTCATATGATTTCAATGAAACTCCGTACATCTTTGAGACGGTCAAAAATAACGGACTAATATCGTTGCATTAGCTAACCGAGAGAATCGAAGTTCATTCTATAAAATATTCAACTGTTCCGAACTCCACGAAGTGAGGCAACGTTATCAGACGAAATTAGCAAATATTGCACCCGGGAAAACATTAAAATTAGACGAAGACCGTTCCGCGGCCGCTCTCTAAATACGCTCGGAGCCAGATGAATCTTTCAGCGGGCGTATATCGCTCGTGTTTTGAATTCGTTCCGTTCTGAAATAAAATTTCTGATTGCATTCTGCGCCAGCGGCGCCGGCTCCGTTCTCATCGCGCCCGGGATCTCGCACCGGGTTAAACCTAAAATGAAATGCTAATTCGAGAGTCCCGGTGGCGGGCAGCTGCAGTTTTTTCGCGTTCGACGCGCCGCGAATCGCATAAATCATTCTCGCGGATCGCCGGCGTGTATTCGTTCGCTGCGCGCCGCAAACGCGGCACGGCTGACCTCTTCGATTTTTATGGACTCCTTTCATTTTCGAGTGGACTGTGTACGAAACACTTTTGTGTCCGTGTGAGAAACTGAGAATGTAATGAGTTCATCGTAATTTGAATTATAACCAGACGGTGGATCTCCATTCGAATTCAAATTTTCAGGGACTTAAGTAGAAAACCGAAAAGCTTCAATCATCGCGCGAGCAGAAAAGCCCTTAAAACGAACCGACCGCGATTTACTGGACATTATTCCCGGGTCTTCCGCTTGCCGTGCCCCGCTTCGTGAGCGACGCGTGAAACGCGAGCCGAAATGGCGCGCGAGTCTGGACGTTGCTTTATTGTTTCGGTTAGCCGAGCCAATGTCCGGCGCACGGGCACCGTGTCACAATGAATTCGCTCGCGGCTAGGCGATTTTCGAAAATTAGTACCGTCCCGGCCGCGCCGCTTTTGTGTCAATGATCGAATTATAAAGCCCGATGAGCACGATTCGAATAACATCAACACCGTTCCGCCCGACGTCGCGTCTCGATAATGAGGTGCGCGCCGTTTCGTTTTCCCTTTTTCCCTGGTTTTTTTCTCGTTTGTCCGCAGGCGTGGCTACCGGCCGTCGCCCTGCTACTGACAGCAGCGGCTGCCGGCCAAGATTTGACACCGACCGAAGGGAATCGACCGCGACCACCGGCCGGCGACGCCGAATCGCCCGATCGCATCAGGATCCCGCGACAATTGCTGCCGTCCGGGCTGCTGCCCGCTCGGAACGCCGCCGACAAGCTCCCGAACGCCGAGAGGCATCCCCGGAAACGACAATTAGTTGATCTTGCGGCGAATTTCCAACCGCTCCCGCTGGCCGCGCTGCCGCTGCACCGGGCCGCGTTCGGCGGGAACACCAAGACCAACGATGTCTCGAACATCCAGGAGCCGGTGAAACAGGCGATCGAGTCTCGGATATCCTCCGCGCCGCAGATCACGTTCATCACGCCGCAGATCGGAACTGCTAACAGGAGGATCCACGGCTACGACGGTCACCAATCGGCCAGTTTCCATCACACACATGGACATCACCATGGACATCAGCATTCTCATCACCATGGACATCACGCGCATCACAAGCATCACGAGGAGCATAAGCATGAACACGGGCATAAGCATCACCATGGACACGAGCATAAACATGGGCACGACCACCACGAAGAGCATAAACATCACGAGGAACACAAGCAACATCACGATCATAGTCATCACCATGGACACGAGAGTCACCACGGACACAAGCACCATTCCGATCACAAGCATCATCACGGACACGAGCATAAGCACGAGCACGGTCACAAGCATGACCACAAACACGGACACGATCACAAGCATCACGGTGAACATCAGCATCACCACGGGCATCAGCATCATTCCAAGCACGAGCATCACGAGGAGCATAAGCATCATGCCGAGCACCACCACCACCACAAGCATCACCATCACAACGAGCATCACCACCATCACGAGCATCACCATGTTAACGAGCATCACCATCACCATTCTCACAAGGAGACCGAGAACCATCACCATCACCATGGACACGAGCACAAGGAGGATCACAAGCATGCTCACAAACAGGATCATAAGCATCATCACGGACACGAGCATAAACACGGGCACCACGAGGAGCATCACCATGGACATCACGAGGACCATCA